TTCACTCTATATCCTCTCTACATTCATAGCCATTTCTATCCCAACTTCAGCAATTCTATTTAATCTACTGAACAATCTCCTTGCTATGTTGTAAGAACAAAAGGGAAGAAGCAATCCTCTGGAATCTCCACAAGATTAGCCAAAAATGTTTGTTTAATCAAATTACATGACTTAACCTTCGATAAGCTTGATCATCTCAAACCAATGTATTATCAATTTCCTATGTAAATGTTTTTCAGATGAAAGAAAAGGCCTAGAAGCAAAGCTTAATCTTCCCAATGAGTCATTAGAACAGAAATGGTTTCTAAGCTTTTGTGCTCATAAATACCTTTCCAGAATTACTAAGTCTCCTAAGCCACTACTTTTTTTACATAAGCTTGTAATTGTCAATATAGAAAACACATTTCAAAACTGCAAGTGAAAATAATTTAAGAATGTTTAACCAGTAACATGTAACATTACAGGCTAACTGTGATCCTTTTCCCAACAGTTTTCAAATACAGACATGAAAAATATCACGGGGCACTGAACAACTCCATGCTGCAGAACTTTTCACCTCTGCCACTAACACAGGCCACACAATTAACCAGCATCTATCTGTACATCCTGACTATATGACCTCTGGTAAGAATGCACACACACAGACACGTGATTGTAGCTCTAAGTAATTTTCCAAGGAAGTGAAATCCTTCCTACATATGAATTTTAAAGCCTCTCACTCCTTTCCACAGTTCCACAGAAAAAAGGGAGTAACACATGTTCAGAACACTTTGACTGTTTAGCTGGAAGTGTCATGAACGAAAATCATTGTCAACATTGTGAGTATTTTAAAATAAACATCTACACCCAATATATTCAACAGATAAAATTAAGTGTAGAGCAAATAACTAGACAGGATTTATACCTAAGGATATTTTTTAGTACCCAAACTGAAACTAAAATCAACACCTAGCAACTAATCTAGAGCGGAGATCATGCATTTTCAAGTATACACAATAGTGACATCTTAATATAAATATCATTAGAAAACAGAATGTTCTACAGATATGAATAAGGCAGAATGTGGGATTTACCCACTTTACAACTAGGCTTGGGCTAAAAATCTCCAAGACTTACAGTGGAATTCTTTCTTAAGGAATCCTAAACACAGCTCACTGCAAAATGTAGAACCAATAGTACAGGACTTCGCTTGAAGAGTTCATTTTATGTTCTTCTGTTTTGTAGGTGCCCTCCTGCCTTTTTTTTTTTGTGGGGATGATTCTCACTGTAGTTTTCTCATCAATCCCTGGGAAGCTACTCTGGGATCACTTAGTGCCCACAGCCCATGCGTGGAGTCTGGGCCTCAGGAATACTTGAGCTAAGTGTGTATGCTGCTCAAAGACCTTTTCTGTACAAATGCTCATTTTCTGCTCTGTTCCAGAGAGCAGAGACTGACAGAAAATGTTACCATACCCTAATTTCCCAACCACTTTAGCACGTTCTCTAGGGTTAAGTACACACCCCAGATGTGATTAAAACTATTAAGATTTCAAACATCAGTACTCAGTTTCCTATTTACTTTTTCAGAACCTTTTCTTTGAAAGTAAGTACTTTTTACTAAAGTGCAAACACAATTTTCAAATACATTTCCACTTTCAATGTAATAGCAGCAGTATTTCAACTTGTGGTACTCGTAGGCGGACCAAGAACCAGTACCAGTGATAAGAAGAGGCAAATTTTTCTTCCTATGCAGTCTAGTATTTTTCTCTATTTCATTTTACTTTTTTTGGCCCAAAGCCGGTGCTTCCAAGTTATTTTAAATCTTCATTATGAAACTAAACACAGTAAGATGTAGGAGCAGAAACAACTATCCCACTTGCAGCACACTGTTCTGTCTTGATTCATGAGTCAGTTTACAGTCTCACTGATTTTTAAGGGCAAAATGGGAGCGACTTCTAAATGATGGCAATGGGTTATACCCCCTTGTATACATCATGAGGTATACACAATTTTAGTAGAATGTTCTCAATTAAATGCTCTTAAAAGTACAAATATTTTTATTTGGAAATATACTACTTCTTGGCCTTGTTGCCTAGAAACAGCCAAAATTATTTCTAGTCAGAGGCATGACATGTGTATACACACATTATAAATAACACGAACACCCACCCACACACTCATATATTAAGGGGTACTTCTATGGGCCACTAAGTACGCTATCAAACGCATATGAAAATGTAACATTTTGAAGGGAAATAGAATTATTTCCCAAAATAGAGAAAAAGTACATTTCAGCTATTTTTGTCTAGCCATGCAAAGATGCAGCTTCGTACTACCTGCATATTCTTTGTGAATAAAGAAATCAAACTGCATGAACTAAGAAAAACTGGAATGGTGAAAGACTTCTAGTTCAAGAAACTGGTATCTTCTCTTTTATCCCAAATTTTTTTTAAAAAAAGGTCTCGTTTTGGAAAGACTATTTTCTTAGTTCAATTTGCAAGTCAAGTTAAGCATTTTTAACCTAAAAATCTAGAATAAGCAATTAAATAGAACTCAGATGTAGGTTGTTTTAATTGCTTAAATCACTTTAAAAACATAAGGTAACTTGACATTTTAAAGCAATTACAAAGAAGCTAGACTGCTTCACATTCTGCCCGCAAAATGGCAATCATTTAAAAAGTTAATTTCTACCAAATACAAGATCAACGTTCCCAGAAGATTGTTTCTAAAGTCCTCTAATAAACTGGAGGGGCATGGGGTGGGAATGGGACACAGAAAAAAAAAGGCTAATAAGAGAAGTTATTTAGAAATACCTGGGCCTGAAAAGGAAGGAGGGAAAAAAGAGAAATAAAATGTTGCAGGCTTCAGATGCATTCATTTACAAACAACAGGCAGGGTTGGGAGGATGCAATGAGAGCGCACAGTAATTTTAAAAGGCATTGTCTAGAAACCAGAAATGAGGAGAAAACAACCTCAATGCTCTATGATTACCCAAGAACGGGTTTAGCCAGATGAACAAGTCTGCTGCAAACCCTCCCCAAGGCATCTTAAAGACTATCAAACGAAACTTTATTAAACTGGATTACATGGTCTCCCCCGTTAGATGTCTATAGCCACACTATTTATGACTAGGTGAAAAAGTCGATGCATGGGACCCACACTAGGCCCAGGTCTTCTTTTTAGTCCGTTTTATTAGTACAAGCATTGTTAAGACACCTGCTATTAAATTTCTTTGCCAGCAGGTCAAGTTCCAGAATTCCAGGTATCCGCATTCAGAGCACTAAACCCTGACAGGGGTTGCAAGGCCACAGAGATAGGCTCTGGGTACACCCCTGCAATAAGCAGTTGATTACATCCTTATATGCAACCGCACTCCTCTTTTATTAGGAGACTTTAACCTCATGAAAAATGTGTTCCCTCCTTCCTATCTCCTGTTTCAAGGACTTTCAAAGAGGAAAAAAAAAAAACCAGTTCAAACATTTCTTTCTACTTCCCCTTCATCAAAATTTGGGTGAAACCCCATTTTCAATGTTTCCTTCCTTAATATAACATATGTTGTACAAATGGGCATTGTGTATTTGTTTTTCATGGCCTGTTTTCTTGACCTTGTCATTTGTAATTTTAAAACTTTAGATTGAGTTTTTTTATCTCCCTATGTACCTGTTTAATTAAAAACACTTCAAAACAAAACAATTCATTTCACTGATAAATACATCAGTCGGTCTTTCCTTTAAAAGCTATTTCTTGGAAAGTCCTGGAATCTACCACATTGTCGCCAATACTATTTACATTTTAGTAAGTAGTGTTTATGACTGGGGTACCAAACAATACTTCTGAACATGCACAAAGAATGTCTGCAGCCATAGTCCTCTTAGTGTTCTATCTCAGTACTGACCTTTGTTCAAAGGCTTTTACTTTTTTAATGCAGCAGTTAGAGATAACTACTTCATTTATCAAAACTCAATTACCATAGTAACATCTAGCCTGGGGAGATTCAAGTCCTCGCACTAATCCAACAACCCATTCAAAGGAACTGTTGAATACTTTGGTTTCCCTAGTAATGATAGAATAAAACATTTTGCTAGGTCATTGCTTTTATTAGCAAACTTATTCTTTGAACTTTAGGTAAGGTTCCATTTACTGAGTAAAAAAACAATCACTTTGTATACAAATGTTCTCTCCTTTAGGGCTGTCCTTTTAAGAAAACCACAAATAGGAACCATCTATGTATTTGAAAATATTTGGGGGTATTTGGAGGCTTTTAAAGCATGCCACCTAGTTTCATCCTAAAATGGATAGTGATACAAAGTTTTGAAATTAGAACGCATTTTAAAGTTATTGTATAGAGCTGACAAAATTATTATTTATAAAATTAAAGGGCCTAAACTTAAAAGCACATTTTAAACAAGGATAAAATTTAAGCTAGAATAGTCTCTCAAACGCATCAAATATGGGATGGGATAGGGTGTGATGCTGACTTTTAAACCACAACCCCATCTTTGGCTTGACTTTAACATTCTGCAATTTTGACACTACCTTTCATCAAGCACAGAAAACATGCTGAACTCAGATAGGTTAGGATAAAGGTGAAACAATGTATTAAGCAGTTAAGTCTTACATGCTAAAATGGTAAAGTTTTTAGTGTTTTTAATATAGTTTTATTGAAGCCAACTGATTTTGTCACACAGATAAAATGAGTTAGATTTTTTTCCTTCAAGACAGGAACAGAAGTGCCATTAAAGTTTAAAATCCATTAGTAAACATCATTGTTTATGTTTTTGGGTAATTAATTCTATGTGAGGTGACAGGGCAAGGCCTTTGTGAGGGAACATCAGCCCTTCCTGGAACCAGACTTTTTCAATGAACTGAATTTTGAGCCAAGCCAGTGCTGAAAAGGTATGCCATTAAAAAATAAAAGTTGACAGAAGAAAGAAGAGATCAAACACACGTTAGCTTTTAAAAGGATGAATACCACTTACACTATTTACACAACTCACAGAATTAACAAGAAAATTACATACCAGTATGAGTCCTCAGGTGAGCTTTTAAATGAGAAGACTTTGTATAAACTTTTGTGCAGCCTAAAATAAAGGAGAGGAAGAACAGCTTGTCATTTTGGAGATCCTTTTGAAATCCTTACATCTGATGATTCAGTGTTTAAAATCAAACTTTCAAGAATCTCTCATGCTAGATATTTGAAGCTCCAGTTTTAAAAGAACGCCCCCCTTTATTTGATTAAGAGTATAAAGTGATTTTCTTTATGTACTACTTCAGCAGAAAGCACAAAGTTGATCAAGCCAAGCTACAAATAGAAATCTGTGTCTATATTCCCAGTAGGTGCTTTATGAATGAACATGTACTTTAGTGATTTTAAATTGTTTAATGGGTCTAGAGCTGAAAACGTTAAACCATTATCTAAGATAACTGCAATTTTCTGTACTACATTTGTTTTTTTCATTTTATCACGGTGTACCATATACCGTTATCTATAGACTATACCCTGTTATTAATGATAAACTAGCTTACGCCAGCAACTCGTAGATATATTCATCACCATCATCAAATTATATTTTGGGGTATGTATTTCATGCAAGAATGAGCATATGCTCATATACTGTCAGAACTACCCTTCAACGTACCCCGTAGACAGTCTTCTATCTATCCTGAGGACAGCACCCTACCCTCTTCAATCCCCACTTCACTACCACACTTCATTTTTCCCTACCTTAACTTTATCTTTCAGGGTACTTTATATAAAATTAAAAACTTGAATTTAGATTATATTAAAGTAACCCTGGCATAATTTGAAATACAAATTTTTATTTACTATTTAAGAGAAAAAAGCCTTAGGTGACTTTTCCCCCAGAATATTCTAGTCATTTTTTTATACATAAAATAAGCAATAGGCAACTAAACACATTACAAACCAAGGCACAAGAGACAGATACAAAAAGAACAAAGTACATGAATTTCTTCTTGGTTAAGCACTACTTTCCTGTGTAAATTTAAAACCTGTGGTTGAAAGGTGCATACATACACGTACATACACACACACACACACACACAAAATACATGCATTGACACTTCAACCAGGGAAGATCACATACCAGGGTAATCGCAGTAGTGGATGCGGCGTTTTTCCAAGTCAGGGTTGCTCCTCCTATTGTATCTGACAGGTTGGATGCTTTGTGAATTAACTGGCAGGGTGGCAGGTAAATTTGGATTGTGAATTGCCAGTTTAGAAGCAATTGTAGCAGCATAGGATGGAGGTGGGGTTAAATTCTGGAGCATCTCTGCTTGTCTATCTGGACTTCCAGGCTCTGAGCTTGGTGGTGACGGGGGAAAGTAAGTGGCCTGTTGTGGAAGAAACTGACTTGGCATTGTGTATGTGCAGGGGGGCATGCCCTGGAATTGTTTCACTGCAGTCTGAGGAACAGCAGAGGTGTGTGTGTTAAGGCCTGCCATGGCAGCTGACATAGAAACATTAAGAGTGTCCATTACTGCTGTCTGGTTTGTAGAACTGGGCATATCTAGATCCGGTGTATTCAGTAGCTGGTACAGGTGGCCCTGCTGGGGAGGGACAGAAAGATGAAGATCTGGTGTAGGAAGTTCTTGTTTGATGAAAATATTGTTCACCTCTGGAGCTGTGGTCTGGTGTGAGCTGAATATACTGGTGAACTCAGGGAGGGCCTGGGTCGGGGCCGGAGGAGGAGGGGCAGTCGTTTCACTCTGGTGGCTGAAAATGGTAACAGGTTCTGTCTTGATGTGTGTTACGCAGGGTCTCTGGGATTTGTAGAGGCCAGTTCTCAGGTGAGTGATGTCAGGGAGGAAGACGTTCATGTTGATACTGTAAGGTAACCCTTCACTGTCAGTGAAGAACTGGTCTACGACTGAGGCACTGTCTCGTCTATACTTTTTATGCTCTGGAATTATGGAAACTGGAGGAAGCTGAGGAGTCAGATACTTCTCCATTTCACATCTTGTCTAAAAAAGAAGAGACACAAACATACATAATCCACCCAATTCTCAGGACAAATGGTGCTTAGCAAGATTCCCCCCAACAATCCCTGTAAAATATACTTGGGCAAGCACTACTTCAAAGTGCTGCTTACGAATATACCAAGTTTGTCAACTGTGTAATAACTGATTTGCCAGAAAATTAACAAAACTCCATGTAACATGTATTTGGTAAAATCGCTCCCACCATCAACCCAGGACAAAAAGTCAAAGCAGCAAATCAAGAAACGAAGAAAACAGAAAACATATTTTTTTCTGAAGCAGCAAATCCAGTAAACAGAAAACAAACCCCTTTCTGATGCAATAAAGCATACTTTACCATCACTCATGTACAAACAAGATTCCCTGCGTCATTAGCTAAGATGGCAACTGAACTTCAGTATTGTAGTATTGCCGAACGTCTGTTCATATTATCCAAGTAAATTCAACACATTTTTCTTTAAACAAACCTTAAAAATATTGCAAAGTGGACTTTTTTGTTTGGATAGATATGGCTAAATATCCAATCTTAAACACGTTCCTTGTCTATTTCAGTGCCCCTTCTTTAGAGTTCAATGGAAACAACCACAATGTCTTGAGCAAAATAGTACCCACTGAAAAAACTCCATATTCAATATTTGATCTAAATATTGATTTTAATCAGCAAATTCCGTGACTGGTTAATAGGATAATGAAATGTTCCTATTCATATCTCTATCTAAAAACAGATCTTTCATTACCTAGGGGAAAATCACTCCCTTGGTAGAGTGGTGCTAAGGTTCCCGTGGGTGGGGAGAGGCTGCTGTATGGACAGCAGAGTCATCAGCCAAACATTTATCATGTCCTCCTCAATGGGTCAATGCTACATTCCCCCTTACTCTGTAAAAAAAAAAAAAACAACCTCAGGCATCCCATATCCCCTTGATGTCTCCTAGGCAGAAAATTGACAAACTGAAATAACCAGATCGTTTTCCAACGGTGATTTCTTTTAAGGACACAATCCAGCCTGTAGTTAGTGTCCTCGGTCTTTTCCTAGCTTTCATTCCTAGTGAAACATAAACGTTTTTGCTTTTTTTTTTAACATTGGAAAGTAAATTTCTACAGGAAAAAACACCCCCCTTTAGATGGCTCATAGAAGAATTAACTGTAGCATCTTAATCGGTGAATAACACAGCCACTTTTTGCTACTTAATTTCAAAAGCGGTTCATATCGGACCTCAAATCATTCGCTGTGGATGCAGACAGGGTTTCCCGGAAAGACACAATTTAAAAATAAAAATTAACGCTCTAGGTCCTGAGTCACCTCTGACAATGTCACTGCCCTTTCACAGCACGGCGACACTCACAGACCCTTCCCTCCCCGCCTCCCCCCGCCCCGCGCCCCAAAAGTAGGAGCTTGGGTAGCAAACACATAATATACCAAGAGGCTATTAAATGAGTGGCTTGAAATAAACTGAACTAAACCCTTTTCGTGTACCTCGCTCCCGTGGTGGTTAGTGGTTTCTGATTTTAGCTCTTCCAGCTGTTTGCATGTGGGTATGTTTCCAATTTTTTTTTTTTCCTTGGGACAGGCTAAAAGTCCCGGGAAGTTTTTTCTGGGCTATATGACTCCCTGCGTGGGCGAAAGAAACAGGCGGCAGCTCTAATTCGGCTGCCGGGCAAGTGTAAAAGCCAACTGCCAGCTTTCAACGCGGCGCCGAGAGGAAATTTACGCGCACATGAAGAAAACAACACCCCCGGTCTTTCTTTTTAAGGGAATATAAGCGCTCCTATACAACCTTAGCTTTTCGAACTCCAGTCACCCAAAGGCGGCCCCACGATCGCGTCTAAGGCAGGTTGAACCAAGAGAGAGGAAACTAGCACCCCGAAGCGCCTCCCCCAGCACCCCGATTTGCGTTTCCACTTTACTCGAGACGACGTGCGGGAACCTCCAAGGCCGTGACACTGGGAGGAGAGGGGATTAAGGCGAAAGGCGGAATTTTAGTCAAGTTGTGAGTTAGGTATGAGGTTTCATCCCCCAAATGTAACCAAATAACTAAGGTGCACTTGAGCACCCTGATCCCTCGTCAACCTTTCCGGACGGACCCGCCAGAGCAGACTAATCTGAGCCCCGCTGCAGATCCCCCCACTTTTCCCCGCGAAATGCGGGTGTACGGCTGGGAGGGCAGGGCGAGGTGCCAGCGCAGCCCCGGCGCCCCGCGCGCCCGCCCAGCCTGGAGCGGCCCCTGTCGCCCGCGCGTCGCAGCGGCGGGACACGCCCGAGCCCCCGGAGGGAGGGGAGCGGCTCTTCCTACCTGGACCAGCTCCTCAGGGGGTAGCCGCGGGCCCGCGGCGGGCGGCGGCGCCGGCTGCGGCGGCTGCGAGGGCGCAGGCTGCGCCTGCGGATGGTGGTGCGGGTGCTTTAGTTCCTCGCCGGGGAAGAGCGCCGCGTCGCGGGCCGGGTTCGCAGCGCCTAGGACGGGCTTGAGCTGCGCGAACACCGGCTCGTCCTGCGGGGCCGGCGGCTGGGGCACGGGTCCCAGGCGGGCGCTCATGGTCAACACCCGCGTAGCCATGGACACTCGGGGGCGGCTCCGGGCGCGGGTCGCGGGTCGAGCGCGCTTCCCACCTCGCCCACGGAGGCTCGGGCCGGCGAGCTCGGCGCGGGGCCGCGGGTGGAGAAGGGGGAGGCTCCGGGCGGACCCCTCAGCCAACAGCAGGCGCGGTTTTCGAAGACGCACACCAAAAGCAAAACTCTTCCGCTCCGCCACGCGTAAACGCCAACGTCCTCCCGGCGGCCACTTTCTCCCGCCCCGCCCCACCTCGCTCCTTCACTCGCCGGGGCCGCTCCCGCCAGCACCGGTCACCGCGAGACGGCTGCGAGCGCGCGTACCTGCCCCGCGACTACCGACACTTGACGCCAGCCTCTATTTTACCCAACTCTGGGTGGGCGGGGCCCCAAGCCAGACTGGCAGCGCTGCGGCGAATCCCGAGGCCTTGAGGCCGGCCGGGCCCGGGGATCTGGCCTATGAGATGAGAGGATTTCGCCCAGGGCCCCGCCTCCGCCGGGCTGACCGCACCCCTCTCGGGCCACGAGCTTCGCGCGCAGGGCGGCCGCGCAGTTTGTACACAACTTCTCTGACAGATTGGGCTGTCGGAGCCGGGGGCGGAGGAAAGGGGAGAAGCGGGTGGAATCTAGGAAGAGAGGGAATTAGGGTGGAGACGTGGAGGGAGATCTCTTAGGACTGTTCTCTGCCAGGATTAGGGAGAAAAAGAGTCTTGCACGTCTTAGGTGTTGTGCAAGGACCCAAAACTCAAAAGTTGAAGCCCAGAAGGCAGCTAGGTGGGGGCGCTAAGGTTTTTGGAGACTTGTTTAATGTGTGTGTTTTTAAATGTATAAAATGTACTTTTCTTTAGCAGAAAACTAGGGGCGGTGTGATAAACAAATTTAAAAACAGCTCTTGCCTCTGTGTATCTTTAGCAGTGAATATATCCATTTCACAAAGCAAATTTGGAATGTCCTGAATAACAGGTTTAAAGGCATAGAGGTTTATGCCTTAAAAGTTTTAAGTCCTTGCATAAGGCTTGTGTTTTCCTACATTTAAATGGTTAGATGAAGTTTTCACACACATTTCTGTCACTTATTCATGTATGGAGAGTGGGGGGACGGACCATATGAATTTTGAAGTTTTTAATATTTACCCTGTTGGTTCTACTCGAAGCATGGAATCTAAGTTAAGCACTAACAACTAGATCAAAGGTATTTAAATAGACATTACATCTTTGACTTATTTTTGCTAGCACTCCATGTTCAAAAAATGGAGTTTAATATTTATAAAACAGAAACGCAACTAACATTTACCTAACTAACACCGTGGCACCTTTTCCTACGAAAAGACAACCAAAGAAGGCACAAACATTAGACGCGCCCCAGCTCCGGAAACTGGGAATCCAACTTTATAGGAAAGTAATAGCCAAATATGTTAGCGTCCATTTACTATGTTATAATGGGAAGGAGAATTTTTGCCAGCAATCACCTAAGGAAACCACTTCCTTTAATCCTTAATGTTCTTGTACATGATTTTATCTGGCTTATTGGGAAGCCGGAATAATAAACTGCAATAAAAATGCCTGGTATATTACTACATGCGTATATATGTTGACAGCACACTATACCATTAGACAATTTTACATATACGACAGCCTACTCAACAGTAAAACAGCTTTTAAAAAGAGTTCTGAGAAAAAAATGTTCACTTCATAAAGTGGGTCTATCAAAAGTATGGATCTCATTTCAGTGTGCAGATTTTAAAAATTAATATCCACATGAAATAGAGGTATTTATTTATTATTAGGAAACAAAATTATGCTGCAAATCTTTTTTCTTCTTTTCATTCCCTTCCTGTTAATAAATGATTCATTTTTATAGCTATGATCATTGCTTTCAGAGAATGGTTGACGGCTACTTTCAAGTTACCAAAGTATTATTTGATAAGTGTTTTTGCAAATTTTCCTCTAAGCAAACAATCCCGTACTACCACTTCAAAAAAGATGTCTTCATTTTCTGTGATATTGAGCACAATTATGTAATTTCATAGAACTGGTATGTGATTTAACTTTTTTTTAAATTGAACTTTGAAAGTTTTTAGTTACAATGCTGATAACATGATCAAACCTGAGGGTGATATAGGTAAGTCTTAACAGAACTTTTGTATTTGTTTCATCTTTAATTTAAATCTAACTTAAATATATTTGTGATCTATTTATATTGTAACTGCTTTTAAGCCTCTAGACCTTTCCTTTCGTCTTTCTTTTTACCAGAGTGTCAGTGGCCTGTTATTTCAACCCTGATTTTCACTGCAATAAAATCTAGTTATTTTACTGGAAATATTTCTACATTTCAAACCATTTTTTTAACACATTTTCATTTACAAAAGCTTTCCCTGTGCAAAAAGAAAAATAAAAAATAGCTATCTGATACATTTTTAATAAAATATTTTTATAGTCCTGTTCATATTTTTCACATTTCCACGCTTCTTAATGAATATAGATATGAACCTAGCTATGGTTGGCCTCACAATGCATTTACAGTAGGAAAGCTGAATACAGTCTTTTTTACTCAGATACAGTAGCATTTATTTAAATTTCATTTCTGACATGAGGACTGATGAAACAGGGCTGCCACTTTTAAGTAATGGTTTCTCTGAAATGCCCAGCTCTGCAATCTCCAGAAAATAATTGTACAGCTTAGCACTGTACAATTGCATGGAAATTGGAAAGTAATCCTTCTCTGAGACATTTGCCATGCAATTCTGAACATATGAAGAACATGTTCAACTAAGCTTACATGCTGTTGCTGTTAACACAAACGCTATGGCTGCAAATGAGCTTCACTGCCTTAGCAAAAAGGGTTAAAACTTGATAAATATTTTTCGAATGTGCCAGGTTCTACACTGGCATGATGCCAGACAGTGTGAATGGACAGATCCTCAATTACTTTGAACTTTCTAGTTCTTTGCATTCCTTCCCGCTTACTAGTGCTGTACCATTCGGGAAGATAGGAGAAAACAAAAAGCAAATGTCAGGTTTTAGAAATCAGTTAGTGGCCTGGCAGGGGTGTGTTAACTGCACTGCGCCAAAACAGAGAATTCTGAGGGGAAGAAATAAAATAGTTGAGTTAGTCAAGTTAGGTAGGAGGGTAAGCGTAGAAGCAGTGTGCATGCTTAAGTCCTTAGTCACTGGGCAACACAGATTTGGTCTTAGAATAAACTATAAGTGTCATTATCTTTACGGGAATAAATAAGCCTGAATGTGTGGGGGCCGAACAGGCATTCAACGGGGTCGGGGAGGAGGCCTGTTGAAGGAGGCCATGGAAAAAAATGGATAAATAGCTTCTGAATGACGAGATGAGAAATATATGAAGCTATCACTAGGGCAATGTTCACAGGAAGACGCGGCAAAAAGAATTATCTGTATCCAGCTGTTTGGCCAAAACTTCAGAAAGAGCTTGAAATTAAGGGATCTAGAATATTTTAGGCAACACTTCATTCACTTTGATTGGAACATATTCATGCAATAGTCCATTTCTGTAAATTCAGAATCAAATTACCAAGTGATACTAGACCACAGAAAAAGCACGAGAATGAGTAAAATTATTTTTTTATGAGGGAGTACGTTCTTCTCTAGGGTAAGACTGGGCAGTTTAAAGGGACTTTTTTGATATTCATTGATTGTCCCCCTAGCATTAGAATCTGTACCTATAGAAACATGAGACATAACTACTGTCCTTTAAAACAATTCATGTTTAGAATCTAGGTATTTTTTTCATTAATGTCAACTGCTTTAAGCCACCGAACACCAACAGAAAAAAGTCACTGAGAAAAAAGCACAATAAATAGAAGCTTCAGTTAAGATTAGTCAAAATTCAAGCCATTTGACTCAAAGGTTGAGGTACAAGAAAAGAAGCTCTTTTCATTCCTTCTGTAATGAAGTCACTTCTAATAGGATGTCCCTACTTTCAATAGGATTAATATAACTTTTTGTATAAATTAAAATGTCTTAAGAAAAAACTTAATATCTTATTTTTGTACTATGTCCCACCTCAGTTCTCAAGAAATTCAATTTTATATTTCAGTTTGGATTTAAATGTGTTCTTCATGAAACAGCTCACAAAACTACCCATGGACACTTATTCTGAAATGTACTGTCATTTATCAAACCTATTTCTAACATTCTATTAATAAAAAACAGAACTTTACCTTTTTGGGGGGATGAGGATGGCTTTTTTCACCTTGTGAGTATAATCAGCAGTCAAAAATAACAAATAGAAACTCCTTCAACCAAGTTATAGGCCAGGCACACTGCAGCTTAAACCGTAGAGTGTTTGAATTCTGACTCTGAACATGATTGGAAATGTTGAGAAAAATCCTGAACTGAAGCAGTTATGCCAAACAATCTTTTAGAACAGTGAGGCCACATCAGCAGCATCACAATGAGCAGTGTTTTGAGCCAATTGCTGTCCTTGTGATGACAAAAGCACTAAGGATGCCAAGTGGAGGGGCGCACCCAGCGGATGCTCAGGTGCACTGCACGTGGGTCACCTGGGAATAGACCTTGGGAGGTTAATTTGTAGGTAAATGTAAAAACTGTGCTAACACCAATGCTGGCTCTCCATGCCTTAACTTCTGTACAGTGGTGGTGGTTGTGTAGACCTGAAGAACATTGAGGAGGACCTGACAATAAGTAGGAAGATGGCTAAAAATGTAAATAACCTGTAAAATGATAGAAGATTTCCTCTCTAGGAAATATATCTAGATAAAAAAGAAAATCAGAAATAACCTGAGTCAACAATAGAATAGTGATACATCCATAAAATGGCTACTGTTCTGCCACCAAAAGTCATATTATTAAAGACTATTTAGTCACATGGGACAATACGGAAAGTTAGGAGGTTTTATAAATGCACAGATGAAAATACAAAATGTATGCATTTTGGTGGCTATCATCTGATGGTCAAATGATGGGCAGTTTTTCTTTGCTTTATAATTTTCAATATTTTCTAAACTTTTCATGCACTCCATTTGTAATCAGAATAAGTTTTCATGATAATAACATAAAAGTTACCTTTGCACAGTTAAGGGTTCATTGAAACTGTGGGTTACGATCAAATGACTTGCCAGTTGAGAGCAGCAAGTACAGCTTGCCAGCACTGCACTGGGGAAACATGTAAACTTTCTTAACCAAGTTGCTAGATTTTCAGGAGTCACTGCAGGATAAACAAGTTGAAGAGAGACTACGAAGCTTTAAGTTGGAAAAGGACAACCTGGGGAATGTCTGAAATATAAATACAAGTATGGCTTAATTCATCTCCTAAATGATCAGTAAGACTACTTCAACAGTGATTTTTACTTAAAGTTATTTTGG